TTAAAATGTTGATAAACTGCTTAACAAATTCTTTTCCCTTCTTATGTTTAAATTAACCAGCTTTTAATTTAATTACAGCTGTCTTTAGGGTATGTCTCTATCAGCTTCGCACATCAAGAAAATAATATTTCCACCCATTCTGAATCAGCTGTTGCTGTTAAATCAAAGTATAACAATACTCCTTATTGGTTAGCACCATTTCGAAACATCTAATTACGGTCTGATCAGTAGACATGAGACATTCACAAAGAAGCTTCTCATTAGTTTGCAGTTGTTATGACTCATTGCTAAAAGGAAGAAAGCAGTGATTTTGGCCTGACCACTAAAGGACTGTCACACAGTCTTTTAGTGATTAGATTAGAGCTATAGTTATTCAACTAAGAACACCAAATTGATTTTACCTCAGATTTTGAATAAGTTTAATAATTAACTACAACTTCAGTTCTAGTTAATTGTTTATTCATGATCTACAGGATATATTATTTCATAAGACAGTGTTAGACTGGATTTGCCAAAAATATCTCTAATCCAATTATCAGTATATTATAGTTATGCACCACATTGTATTCTTAGTATAGCACGCTTCACTGTTGAGGAACTTGATCAATTTTCTTCGTTCTTCAAAATAATATGGGGACCAAAGATAATTGTTCAACATTGAGTTGTTCTTTTTTTTTATCTTCATTGCTCCTTAACATGTTCTTTTGTAGTTGACCATGCAAAGTATGAATAGTCTCTTTCTATAAACGAAACAATGTGCTTAGTGTTATAACAAATAAATGCGAGGGAGTTTTATACTGCAGTTTTATTCTCAGACACGGAGAATCAAAGGAGCATCAAGTGAAGAGGTCATCCCAGCTTTTCTCTCAAACTCTGAGAACAATAATCTGATCTTTGATCAAATAGTGCAGTTTTTAAACATTAGGATTTTTTTAAACCAAATTCTGCTTACCATTTCCCCACACCGTTCTCTCTGTCCTGTCCTTCTCTAACAAACATTTTTAGATCTTTGTAGAAAACAAAGATTCCTACAGAGACAAAAAAAAAGCACAAGTAGACATTTACATATTAGGTAACATTTAAAGATAGTTGATTGCTTATATTTGTTTGCTTATAAAAAAGTAATAAAATGCTTTGAAATCAGCCTCTATTGTAACATAGTGGGGTTAAAAAATCAGGTAGCAGAGTTTTGTGGAGTGCTGTCTAAATTATAAACTCTGTTAAAATGACCCAATTCTGCCTAAATAAACTGCAAGAGCTTAAAATATATTCCAGCAGTTAAGCTCCTCCTCCTGCTGTCTTGATTTTTTTATCCAAATTTTTTATTAAGAAGATATTACCTATTCTAGGGTCTGATTTGATTAAAACCAGATATATCATCTTTTATCACATATTTCACTCATTTCAAGTCAAAATCTCTTATCAAAGTTAATAAAAGTCAAAGCTATTTTTGGAGATAAATTCAAGTGAGATTTAAAAACTTGTTTGAAGGAAAAGCATCTAAAAAATCTTGATGAGTGGAAGAGTCCCGAAAACATATATTTTTTTGAGTTATTACTTAATTAAGTTTTGTTGACATTTCCCATGAGCGTGACATTTTCCAGGGCTTGTAAAATATAAAAAATATTGTTTCAAGAAAAGGTCTACACTTGAAGCAAAACAAATCAGCTTTATTTTGACTGCATAAAAGCAACATTTACAGCTCATTATAAAATAATTTATTGGTGTGGTTATTTTTCATGCATTTCTTTTCAACCAAATATCCAAATAATTTACAAAAATACATAAGATCTAAAATATCAGTTTAAATCTTGAAACGCCTTCCCCCCATTATGTCGAAGATAATGAGAGCAGAAAATGTCCAACAGTAACTGGCAAAGCAGTGAAACATTGGTTTGTCAAAATGCTTCACATATGATTTTAGGAAGATTGTTAATATTCATGTGTAATGTGCTTTTTATTACTGAAATTTACATTTACATTAAGTATGTTGTGTAATTATTAAGGCTGGTTTGAGCTAATGAGGTATCTCTACCTATTTTACAATAGAAAACTCTGGAGTAAAATTGATGACATTAGAAATAACCTTTGTTCACATGTAGGCTTGTTAATCCATTTTCCTTCAACTATATGTTTAAGATATATGAGTATTCTTAGTACGATGGAACTTCTGGTAATATTTATTTATACAATGCTTCTTTTCCATCATAGAGCAGGCCTTATTCTATATATTATAAGAATGGTATAAGGTTGGGAAACACAAAGAGAGGAATCTTCAATCAATCTCTATCATTCAGACTCCTGATTATCTCTGTTCAGCTTGCTTCTTAGATTTTCTATAGGATTTAAGTCCAGTTACTGGGATGGCCTTGGAAGAAAGTGGATTTTGGTTTTGATTAATAACTCCTGAATTGAATTGGGCATAGTGTATGTCTTGGTTTGTAACAAAAGCCCAGCATTTGAACATAATCAGTTTGTCTTACATTTTGGACCTTTTGTTTCTGTTTAAGTTTTTATTTTTAGGGTTCCCAAGTTTTCTTTGTGTAGTCTAGATTTAGATTATATTTGTATTTGTAGTTTTGCTTATCCTGGTGGTTATCTCTTTTCTTTGAGATTTCTGGTATAATTTATTCCTTGGTCTAGTTTTAGTTATTCTTTCTCTTATCTTTAGGTTATCTTCATGGCTTCAGTAATCTCCAGTCCCTTCTCTTATCCTCTAGTTTTTCCTCGAGTCATTCCTTATTTTGAAGTCATTAGTTTTATTCCCCTTTAGCCTTATTTAAATGCTTTTCTAGTTACTTTTAGAACCTTTTGTCTCTCCCTGGTTATTCTTTGTTGCCCCCTAGTATCCTTTCCTTTCCCCTTAGCTCCTACTAGTTACTCTGTCTACACCTGTAGTGGTACATTGCGCAGTAATATCCACAACAATAAACTTAAAAAAAAAAATAAAAAAAAAAAAAATAATAATAATAATATATATA